CGGGGTCCCAGGAGGGGGCAGTCAGGGGACAAGGAGCGGGGGGGGGTTGGGGTTTTGAGGGGGGCAGTCAGGGGGTGGGAAGTAGGAGGGAGTGGATGGGGGCGGGGCAGGGGCGGGGCTAGAGCCGGGCTCCCCCCCCCCAGTGTCCTCTTTTTTGCTTGTGGAAATATGGTAACCCTACATATAAGAGGTTCCCATGGGGAGGTTATGATCAGCAGTCAGGGAAGGATGTTGCATGGGAGCCTTTTTCCATCCTCTGGCCCATGTCCCTGCCCCCACCAATAGTTAGCTTTCCACTGATGAGAGTTAGCTTAGCTTAGCTCAGCTAGTCTCAGCAACTGAATGCAGTTGTGTGGGTGATACTGGAAGCCATCTGTTTGTAAGCTCTTTCACCTCCAGGTGCCAGGTAGGGGGCACAAAACTGATGACCATGAGAGTGTTTCAGGCACCAGGCAAACAAGGCAAAGCTAGCTGGGACTCTTGCTTAAGCAAATCCTGACCACAGTCCTTGCTGCTGGGAGCTGTCCTCAACCTCCATATGACCCATTTTTCTACTGCCAGAAAACCTCCCTGACCCATCTGCTGAAAGTTCCCCACCAACTTCTCAGTTCCTGGGGCCTCCCTTGATATCTCCTGTCATGAGTTCAACATACAATGGATTTTCCTTCTATAAATCACCCCTGTACTCCAGCCACGTGCTACTGCATTCCTTATGCTGCATAGACTGTGACCCATAGGCTCCCTTTTGCTGGAAACATTCTTTGATTTCCTGGAGATGTTTCCCATTCTGGCCTATCTCCACACGGCCTTGAAGCCCTCCCTGGTTTCTCCACGCTTCCATTCCCCAGGCATCTCTCTGGCTCCTCCTAGTCCCTTGCCTCACAAAGACACTTCATTGCTAGAGCTTCTATGGAAGATGTCAGTTTTGTTGTTGTGCTTTCTTGCATCACCATTCCTGGCAGCAGGAGGCATGGAGTATTTATTATGATTTAGCTAGAAACATAGTGGGGCAAATTCATCCCTAGTGATTTCTTCAACTTTTGTGGATTTATTCCAAGGCGGAATTTATTGTGTACAATTATTGTTTCTATGAACAATGAACACAAGCTCAAAGTCAGACAAATGGAAATGAAAGCCTGTAGGGCAGGGGTGGACAAACTACGGCCTGGGGGCTGCATCCAGCCCTCCAGATGTTTTAATCTGGCCCTCGAGCTCCCGATGGAGAGTGGGGCCTGGAGCTTGCCCCGCTCTGTTGCTCCAGCTGGGGAATAGGGTCGGGGGCTTGCCCTGCTCTGTGCGGCTCCCAGAAGCAGTGGCATGTCCCACCTCCGGCTCCTACGCGTAGAGACAGCCAAGGGGCTCTGCATGCTGCCCCTGGGAACCCCGACCAATGAGAGCTGCAGGGGCAACTCCTGCGGACAGGGCAGCACACAGAGCCACCTGGTCGTGCCTCCGCATAGGAGCCAGAGGAGGGAGATGCCACTGCTTCTGGGAGCTGCTTGAGGTAAGCACCGCCTGGAGCCTGCACCCGAACTCCCTGCCCCAGCCCTGATCCCCCTCCAGCCCTCTGAACTCCTCAGTACTAGCCCGCAGCACCTTCCTGCACCCCCAACCCTTCAGCCCCACCCCAGAGCCTGCACCCTCAGCTGGTGCCCTGATCCCTCACCCCTGCACCCCAACCTCCTGCCCCAGACAGGAGCCTCCTCCCACACCCTGAACTCCACATATCTGGCCCCACCCCAGAGCCTGCACCCCCAGCCGGAGCCCTCGCCCCCTCCCGCACCTAACACCCAATTTTGTGAGCATTCATGGCCCACCATACAATTTCCATACCCAGATGTGGCCCTCGGGTCAAAAAAT